TGGGACTTCCAACCAGGCCTGAAGCAAGCAGAGGAGAGGCTCCCAGCACCCTGTGGGAGTGTGATTGGGAAATGCCTGGCAGGGCGTTACATTAGTATTGGTCTGGGCATCAAAACTAAGCATGTGAAAGAGGATAGGACAGTCCAAATCTTGATCATAGAATGAGCCACGGCAAACTCTCACGGTCCAGGCACTTTTTTCACAACATAATTACTCTAAATTGCTCATTTCCTGGTTATTTGGTATATGTGTGTGTTGTGGGGGGAGTGCAAATGAGCAGATGTTTTTGCCCACTGTCTGATCAGCAATCTGCAATTAGACCCCAAGGAACAACCTGCTCATTGTGGTTAGGGGCCATTAGCCACTTAAATAATGACATCTGTCATCATTTTCATACCTCATCCTGTCCCTGATCTTATCTTAAAACTGTGCTCAACATGAATGCCTGACTTTCCTAAAATAGACCAACTCGATTTTTTTGTTTTTAATTTTTTTTTCAACATTTATTTATTTTTTGGGACAGAGAGAGACAGAGCATGAACGGGGGAGGGGCAGAGAGAGAGAGGGAGACGCAGAATCGGAAACAGGCTCCAGGCTCCGAGCCATCAGCCCAGAGCCTGACGCGGGGCTCGAACTCACAGACCGCGAGATCGTGACCTGGCTGAAGTGGGACGCTCAACCGAGTGCGCCACCCAGGCGCCCCCCAACTCGATTTTTAATAGCTCTACTCCAGTCACCATCTTGGTGAAGTGTTTCAGGGTTGAACAACGTGTAGTTAGCAACTTCCTCGATTTACGATGGGGTCAGCTCGCGATAATCCCATCATAAATCGCAACTATTATAAGTCGGAAATGCTTTTACTCCACCTAACCTACCAAACATCAGAGCTTAGCCTAGCCTGCCTTAAACGTGCTCAAAACACTTATATTAGCCTAAAATCTAGTCATCTGACACAGAGCTTGTTGTTTAATGAAGTGTTGAATAGCTCATGTACTTTATTGAATCCTGTACTGAAAGTGAAGAACGGAAGGCGTGTATGGGCACAGAAGGGTTATGAGTGTATTGTTTGTGGACCCTCATGATCGCGTGGCTTATTGGGAGCTGCCCCACATCAGAGAGGGTTTGCACAGCATATCGCCAGCTCACAAAAAGATCTAAGGTCAAAATTCCAAGTACGGTTTCTACTGAATGGGTATGCTTTTCCATACCCATTGTAACATCTAAAAATTAAGTCAAACTGTCGTGGGGCCCATCCGTAATCATCGAGTGCTTCTCACAAGCCTGATGTTGCATGAAGTTCCATACAAACAGCATAAAGCACTGAGCCCACACAAGAACTCTCTGAGATAGAGGCTATCGTTCTCCTCATCTTACAGGTACAGGAACTGAGGTACTGAGAGGTTTAATAATTCACATCTAGAAGGGAACAGAACTTGGATTCAGATTGAAATCTGTTGGACTTTATGCTATATACTGACACAGGTTCTGTGCACCATTTGGTTAGTGAGATGTTCACAGTATACCAAAATGATGGAAGGAAGCGTAGGCAATATGGTTCTGTACAAAGAGCCAAACTAAGATATTGGCTTTAAAACAATGGGACATTTATTTAATGCAGCGATTCTCAACTGGGGGCAAAAGTGACTGCCTCACCCTGGGGCATTTGGAAATGTGTGGGGTCATTTTTGGTCATTTTGGTTGTTACATTAGCCTGTTACAATGGTGGTCTTCCAAGATGCTGAATATCCAGTGGGGCGCAAAACGGCTCTAGACAACAAGGAACTGTCTGGCTCTGAATGTCACAGAGCGCTAAGAAACACTGATAAAGTAGAATAGTAGTATGCCAGAAACTCAAGTATGTAGCAAACTCAAATGGCTTCAGGGATCAGTCACGGAGGGAAGAGCACATACCCCTTCTTAAGGCATCCAAATGCAAATCTTTAAAGGACTTCATCAGACAAAATCACCTAGGCGCCGAATTTGGCCCGAGGGCCTCCAGAGTGGAACTTGTTAATGAAGGCTTTTCTGATCTGGAAACATGTTTGCAATATACTCAGTGAAGAGAAAAAGCTGCTGATCGGTATGATGTTTAGAAAAGATTGTACACGTGTAAACACGGATTTACATGCACACCTATGCACAGTACATACATGTATGAGAACCTGTGGAGAGTGCTCTGGAGTCAACCGTGGGGTGATTTTGTGAAATGCTTTGCTTATTTGCATTTTGAATTGTACCGCAAATATCTATTAGTTGTTTAATTTTTAATGAATAAGGAGAGAAAGGAGCCTTAAAAGAAATTAAAATTTAAGTGTGGTTTCAGAACCCAGCCCTAGTGGCTTTCTGGCCATCCCCTTGGATGAAAGAAGGAGAATAATTTCTGTGATTAAGGACAAATGAGACACTGAATATGAGGTAATCAATACTGACACACCAGAGGGGCGCCTGGGTGGCTCAGTCGGTTAAACGTCTGACCTCAGCTCGGGTCACCATCTCACAGCTCATGAGTTTGAGCCCCGTGTCGAACTCTGTGCCGATGGCTCAGAGCCTGGAGCCTGCTTCGGATTCTGTGTCTCCTTCTCTCTCTGCCTCTCTCCCCTCGTGCTCTGTTTCTCCCTCTCTCTCTCTGAAAACTAAATAAATATTAAACAAAAAATACTAACATACTAAAACGCCTTTGAAAATGAACACTGTTGGTTCCCAGAGACACCAGCCTGTGATTTTTGTGTCTTTCATGATGCCATACAGCTCTCCCGGTGAAGTCCGATCTTTTGCAGCTGCCCCAGAAATCAATACTGCAATTTGCTTGAGAAATCAATGCCTGTCGAAATTTCAAGAGGGTTTATCCAAAATAAGACAAGAGCCAGGCATTTAAAATATAACTATGCCTTTTTCCATCAAGTTGCCCAATCCTTCAAGATCACTGTTTTTCCTGAAAAATCCCCATTTTGCTTCATCTCCATCGTTTCTGTGTTTTATTTCCAGCGTCTTGACTCTGCAAATTTCATTTTGTGCACAAGTCACTTTCGACTAAGCTTTCTTTCTGCAGTTTGCTCATCCTGCGGGGGGATACTGGATTTTCTACCCACTGGTCTATGGACTTCAGGGACTTCCCGGAGTCCTTTCTCACCTGCCTTCTGGGGTGTGTTCACCTCCTGCTCCCTGCCTCCCCGCCCCCCCCCAACTGTAGCCCCTTCTTACCAGCACCTGATGTTTACGAGGCAACCGGGCACATTTACCTTGACAAGCAATGGGTAGATAGCGTTAGGTTCCTTTGGGAGAAATATCTAGAATTCATTATGTAGGGAAGGGGGTGGGTTAAGGAAGTACGATGAAGAAATTGGGTATGTGTTGCTTCCAACTTTTGATCTTGTGAAGAAAAGCCACTGCCAAGGACTAGCGTGTTGGTATGTGAAAGGAGATGTATTTTCTCTCTGGAAATTTGCAGCTGGCCAGCGCCCACAGCCCTGGAGAGGGTTTGGTGGCAAACCCCACAGCCTTCCTGCCCCTCATTGCCTTCTCTCTGTCTTGATTCTTGGTCTGAGTTCTGATCTTAGAAAGCCCCAGTGTGAAAACTACAAATAAAAACAAGACTTTCAGGACTTTCCCACTGCCCTTAGCCCTTGGAAACACTGATGGGGAAAATGGGCGTCAGGAGCAGTGAAAGGCTGTTTAAGGTTTATGGTCTGCAGCAGGGCGGTGGGTGGTTGTCTCCCCATCTCTGCTGAGTAAGTGTCATCTCAGAGGCTTTGAAATTATCCTGCCTTTGTCTTTTAGTAAATTCCATATTCAGCAACATGATGATGAAATTCATAAGCTGATTTTTTAAATTAAATTTTTAATGTTTATTTTTTGAGAGAGAGAGAAACAGAACATGAGCAGGGGAGGGACAGAAAGAGAGGGAGTCACAGAATCCGAAGCAGGCTCCAGGCTCCAAGCTGTCAGCACAGAGCCTGATGTGGGGCTCGAACCCACTAGCCATGAGATCATGAGTTGAGCTGAAGTCGGACGCTTAACTGACTGAGCTACCCAGGCACCTGATATTTATTTATTTATTTATTTATTTATTTATTTATTTAAATATTTTTAAATTTATTTTTGAAGGAGAGAGAGAGACAGAACATGAGCGGGGGAGGGGCAGAGAGAGAGGGAGACACAGAATCCGAAGCGGGCTCCAGGCTCCGAGCTGTCAGCACAGAGCCCGACGCGGGGCTCGAACCCACAAACTGTGAGATCATGACCTGAGCCGAAGCCGGACGCTCAACCGACGGAACCACCCAGGCGCCCCCTGATTTTTAAAATCAACATATTCATGAGTGTGTAAGAGCATCCAGAGTCTAAACCCCAACGATATCCAGAGTCTAAAACCCCACGAAGCCACGAATGGTGTACATGTGATTTCTTTCTTTTTTTTTTAAATTTATTTATTTATTGAGAGAGAGAGAGAGTGCAAGCAGGATACAGACAGATAGAGAGAGGGAGTGAGAAAGAATCCCAAGCAGGCTCAGCACCGTCAGTGCAGAGCCTGATGTGGGGCCTGAGCTCACAAACTGAGATCATGACCTGAGTTGAGACCAAGAGTCTGTCGCCTAATGGATTGAGCCACCCAGGCACCCCAAGATTTGGATTTCTTTAACAAATCTCTCCTGGCGTATTCGCGCATGTTCAACCCCTTGGTGCTTTCCAGCAGCAGGTGAAGATTCTCTGAAAGCCAAGACCAGTGGTTGAACGTGCAGGCTTGGACTTAGAGCCCAAATCCAGGCCCAACCACTTGCCAGCTGTGCGACCTCAGACATGAGCCTCTGCTCTCTGAATCTCATGCTGCTTGTTATCGAAAGAGCGTACTGATATCTCGGCCATGGGACCGTGTGAATCAGGTAGGATGGTGGGTGTGCCAGGGGCTCAGCGCTGGGGCTGTCATCGAGTGCGTGCCCACCCCGTTCGATGCTAACACCGAACTACGAGATACTGCCTGTTTTGTAGATTCAAAGCTTGAAATCTGGGGAGAGAAAAGCCGGTGACCCCCCGAGCAGCTGAGTTCGCCTGAAGGGAATTGGAGCATAGAGCCCGGGAGTCCTGACCCCGCTGCCTTGCCTCCTGCAGGTCTGTAGGACGGTCCCGCGGGTGGTACTACGTGGAGACGAAGTGCCCAGAGTGGTTCCTTCCAGGTGTCTTCTTCCTGCCCCCACCAAAGCCTGAGCCTCACCTACGCCCACAGCTGCCCTGCAAGTTCATCATGCTGACGGAGTGAGTGGTTCCCATCAGACTGTGCACCTGGCTTCCAAGCATGCACGCCACGTTCCCTGGCTCCCTACACCTTCCCGTCCAGAGAGTCAAAGAGACCTGCCCTGAGACACACGGCAACACCAGATGGCTGCCTCTGGCTGGGGGCAGGGTGGGTTTGCAGCCGATTTAGAATCTCCACAACCTCTAACTCTGACCCTGCTCCGTTCCCAACAGAGACATGAAGTTCTGGCATGGCTTAGTGATCGCAGTGGTGTCCCTCATTCTACAGACCTGCCTCTTCGCTGCCATCAACTACCTGCTCAGCAGGCACATGGGTAAATAGCCTGGTGCTCTTTCCTCCTAGTCACCTGTAGGGACCACCCCTGAGCCTATAGCAAGATGAGCCCCGGAATACCCCTTGAATACCTACTTGAGGATCCACTAGCCGGGTCATCCCTTACTGGGTAATCCCCACTCTGACCCAACCTATTTCTGGTTGGAATGATGGCCCAGAGCCCTTCCACCACCCAGACCTTCTACCTAGGGATAAGCTTCTGCAGTACTCTTGAGGGTGGGCTCATTTAGCCTGGGCCTAACTTTCTTCATCACCGCCAAAGGACTCAAAATGAAGAAAGGACTTTGAATTCCAGGAGAAGGGAATATGGCTAGACTAAAAGATGGACTTAAATTCTTTTTTTTTTTTCCAATATATGAAGTTTATTGTCAGATTGGTTTCCATACAACACCCAGTGCTCATCCCAAAAGGTGCCCTCCTCAATACCCATCACCCACCCTCCCCTCCCTCCCACCCCCCATCAACCCTCAGTTTGTTCTCAGTTTTTAAGAGTCTCTTATGCTTTGGCTCTCTCCCACTCTAACCCCCCCCCCTTTTTTTTTCCTTCCCCTCCTCCATGGGTTTCTGTTAAGTTTCTCAGGATCCATATAAGAGTGAAAACATATGGTATCTGTCTTTCTCTGTATGACTTATTTCACTTAGCATCACACTTTCCAGTTCCAAGATGGACTTAAGTTCTTGAACTGATTTACTGTGTTCTGTTCTGGGATGGCATTAAAATTAGGGAAAATAAAATAAAGGGAGTCTAGGCATCTCTAGCCATTCATTCATTCATTCATTCATTTAATATAACAGGGAACCAAACAAAAATCTGTGTCCTTATATAACTTACATATCATGGGGGGCACAGACAACAAACTAGATAAACAGGTAATCGCACATGTTAGATTATGGTGAGTGCTAGGGAAGAAAAAGATGAAGCAAGGCAAGGAGGTATGAATTGGATGATGGCCAACATCACTGAAATGCCAACATTTTAGTATAAACATCTGGCAGTGAGGAAGCGAGCGGCACCTGCAAAGGCCCTGAGGCAGAAAGCTGTTTGGAAGAGAGGCCAGTGTGGCTGGAACGGAGAGAGGGGGGAATAGCGAGGCCACAGAGGGCCTTGGAGGCTGGGGCTTTGGCTCGTCCTGCAAGCGAGGTGAGAGGTGCTGCAGGGTTGTGAGCAGAGCGCTGAGGTTTGAAGAGGTCCCTCTGAATGTTTTGCCGTCTCGAGGGCAGTGCTCAGAGACAGGATGTTCCTGACCTGGAGAGCTGGCACTTTTGACCCTTGCCCTGTCCCCTTTAGCCAGCCAGAGTGAACGGATCCTGAAAGGGGCCAGGCTCCAGGCCCCCTCGCCCAGCCCTGCGCAGCGTCAGCCTTGTGCTGCCACGGAGGAGACGCGAAGCGCTCCTGTGTCTGCGCCCCGTCACAGGCGTGAGTAACGGGGCAGGGGAAGAACTTGTCATAAAGCTTATTCTGCTCTGTCTGGGGCCGTGGAGAGCTGTTCTGCTGCAGCCGGGCTCTGTCCTGGCCAGCCCAGCCCCTGGCTGGAAGATTCCTCCCACCCGCCTCCCCGAAGGCCTCACCAGCCTAGCTTTTCCAGCAAGCTACTCTTTCATCACGCAGGGCAGATCTCGCTGGCTTTGGGTGGGTCTAAGTTCTTTTCCCCCTCTGGTCACGTGTGAGCCACTGCAGAGGGGGCTTGGGGCCGTCTCTGCTCCTGTCTTTGTCATTGATACTATGGCACCTGTTTCCGTCTGGCCGAGATTTCAACTGCCTCTGCCTGCCTCTGGCCGTGGTATCCAGGGGTTTTAATAAATGCTAGTGTTGGTGATGGTTCAAGTCTACGTTCCCCTCTGGCAGGCGAGCCAACAGGAATACCACCCACTGGTTTTCTCTCTCGAGGCTTGGGAGACCCACCAGGTCACCGTTCACACAATGGAAATTGCTGCTTCCGAAGCAAGACAGCTACCCCTGGGTGCTCACTCCCCAGAGAGCGCACCTTTTCCAGCGGGTTTTCTCTTGATGGATTTGCATCCGCTCCGACCTTCCGATTTTATCTTTTCAGTTGGAGAGATCTGGTTGTCAGGCTTCCCTGGCACCGAGATAAGACCTCGGCGCAGGAGAGAACCAGAAGAGACCGCTCATGTGAATTCGGTGTTTCTGCGAAAAGGGAGGGGCACTGGCCTCATCGTGACCCTGGCCCTAGAGTGTCCCCGAAGCCTGGCCAGAATCAGAGACTCTCTGGCAGGGACCTCAAAGATCATCATGCAACCTCCTTGTTTCACAGGGAGCAAAACCAGACACAAAAAGGGATGTCACCTGCCTAGAGTTAGTGACAGGTCTAGAGCAAAACCTGTGGCCGGGACTGGGGAGGCCAGAGCTACGCGCTCGGGGCCACACTGCGTCAGCGTGTTCCTGCTTCTCCCTCCAGCACAATCAAGTGATATTAGTCTTAGATGGAGCTGGACAGTGCGGCAGTGTCTGGACTCTTGGGCACATTCTTGCTATTTGGCGGGGTGGAGGGGGGCGCTTTCTCTCCCCACCCTTTCTCTGTTCAATGTCTTCTTTCTCTATTGGGGGCTCCGTATCTCTCTTCCCCGCTTGTCTTTGCATGGCTGGCTCTGCCTGACTTTGTCCCCTTCTCCCTTCCGTTGTGCCCATCCCCTCCTAACATCCCCCACCCCCCACCCTGCTCCCCAGTGTTCCTTAGAAGAACAGTTTCTATTTCTCCCTAGATGACAGTGACACGTCCTCAGATAACTCCAACAGCGCGGACGTCTCCGGCAGCTTGCCTCCCACCTGCCAGGTAATGGACACCCCTAGTGGTCCCAGCCCTTCATATGCAGTTGGGGTCCTTGCTGTAAAAGACTGAGCATCCAGGCCACCCCACCTACAAGGATGGGAGCAGGGATGGAGGGGTTTCTTGAGTCATTACAGCATCCTCGGGTGACAGGTGTCATGATCCTCGGGTTCATGGCATCCCCACAAAATGGGTCTGAGTGAACTATAAAAATGCAAATGTCAATGGACCACCTCCTCCTCGCCATATCCCAGTCACCAGGCCAAAGTCTGCTCTGAGTCCTGACCTCACGGGGATTGAGTCTCCACATCTTTCCTGAAACCCCTTAGTTCCCTGCAGACAGAGGCACAGAGCTGTTGGTAGTGTTCCCCCTTGGCCTGGCCCTGCTCTCTGACACAGCCACCCGGAGCCAGCTTCTCTCCCTGCCAGCCTAGGGCGAGACGAGGGTCCTTCAGTGAGAGTTCAGTCCTGGGGGGGGGGGTCCCCTCCTCCAACCCTGGTAGGAATCTTGACCCACATTTCTCTGCTTTTTTCCCCTAAGGCCACCAAGGACGTGAATTACACACACGTGGTCTTTTCAGCCCCTGGAGGACTAAAAACTGAACCTGCCCTGCACTATGAGAACATAAAGGAAACCACAGACTATGTCAATGTCAATCCAAAAAGCCACAGGCCCAATTTCTGGACTTTTGTGAACCCTGCTAACTCTGAGTCGGTAGAATACACTCAGGTGGCCATGTGAATTCTAGGGTTTTAATGGGGTGCAGTTCTCTACAAATTCTTGCACTTATTTTGGAAGGGAATGGCTTTTTGTTTTGTTTTGTTTTGTTTTGTTTTTTAAACAAGGCATAGGAGAATAAGTAGGCCTGTATCTCATTCAACAAGAAAGATTCAGGTCAGCTGTCAAGTAGAACTTCCAGGATGAGTATGAATGAGTGGAGATGTCAGTAGAGAAAGCGGTAATGTCTTTCTCCACAGAAAATTGTGGAAAAAAAAAATGTTTGATCAGCTGTAGCAGAGTTCTGTTTGGTAACCTTACCGTTAAAATGACTCTCCGGGCTTTTTAATTTTTTGGCAATAAACAACTTCCTTAAAAATTTTAAATGAAACGACAACTACCAATTCCCCTTTTCCTTGTGCCTAACCCTGCACGCTGCCCCTTTTCAGAGCTACGTCTAGCTGAGCAATCCCGCTCTGCCCTCAGCACTTTCAATAGGCCACTTAGAAAGCCCGCCATCATCCAACCTTCGAATTCCCTGTTTTTTAGGGAACAAAAGATGACAGACAGAGTTCTGGGTAAACGCCAACTAGCATCACAATCTGGGATTCCAGAGAAAAATCTCCCCAAATTCAATCCAATGGAATGTAATATTCTTTTCTGGATTGTTCTTTGTTTGTGTAAAGCCAATTAGGAATACAAGGGCACTTTCTTAGCTTGATTAAGAATAGCTTGTCTCAGGGGCGCCTCGGAGGCACAGATGGTTAAGCATCAGACTCTTCATCTTGGCTCAGGGCATGATCTCACGGTTCGTGAGTTCGAGTCCCACATGGGGCTTTGTGTTGACATCATGGAGCCTGCTTGGGATACTCTCTCTCTCTATTTCTCTGCCCCTCCCTCTCTCTCTCTCTCAAAATAAATAAACGTTAAAAATAAAAGAATAGCTTATCTCAAATCAGCTGACTTCATGATATTTATGGGTAAGGACCTAGAACATAATTTTATTGAATCACGAATGGAGTAAGTGTCCACAAACCTGTCGTTTCCTTCATCTAACATTGTTCTAGAAGTCCTAATCGGTACAATAAAACAGTTGCCCAAAAGAAGAACTGTCAGTACTGGAAAGGAGGATAAACTTGGTCACTGTTTGCACAGTCTAGTCCTACAAAGTCTCAGAGAATTAACTTCAAATGTTTTTAAATTGATAACACGCAATAAGTAATAACCAAATAAATATACAATATACTTTTTTGAATAGCTAATTAAGACTTGAAAGGCAATTTACTCACATTAGCTAAACAAACATCTCAAAAGATGAAAGCCCTAGGAACGTGCCGAAGACAAATCCCAAGTCCAGATGAGTGGCATCCAGGTCTTAGAGACGATATGTTACCTGTGCTCCACCTGCCAGCTGTACATGACCTTTCCAGTCAACTTCCATGTTCCCAGCTTCCTCTTCCCCAAGATGATCTGAAGAAATGGTTTCGGTTTGGGTTTCTGGGACTGTGCAATTTTGCTGGCCTATGTGTCCCTCCACCTTTCGGCTCTCGTTGTTCCTCTCCTGCTATGATTTGAATGTTTGTGGCCCCTTAAATTCATCTGTTGATATCCTAACCCCCAAGATGATGGGATTAATGGGGCGAGGGCGGGGGGGCTCCGGTGGGATTAGATGGAGAAGGTGGGATTGGATGGAGGGGGTGGGATTCGATGGATGGGGTGGGAT